GCGTATTGGCTGTGAGACTCTGAAGTCACTATTGAGAGGTCAACATTGAGACACTGAAGGGAGATAGAATTGAGACAAAGAATGTGAGGTTAACAGCGGCTTTATTAGGATAGGGAAAGAGCTCCCGGGAGGGGAGGGAGAACAGAGAAAGGGACGGGAGAGTATCTTGAGCTCCGGAGCAGGTTCCGAGACCCAACGAGTTAGGTCAGGGAAATCGTGCCTGTCGGGTGGGGCAGTGGGATATTTGTAGGATTGGGGTCAGGGAAATACGCAAATAAGGTAGAGAGAGCTGCTGTTGCTTGTGCCCATAAGGAGAAGGGAGGCATCCTGGTGTGCAGCTGCAGTCTGAGTCCTTCACAGACCAGCTTCTTGGAATGTGGGGGAAGAGGCTGCACAGTCCAGCTCTGGCCTTGAGAGGCGAGCGAAAGGGGTTGTGTGGACCCTGCCCAGAGAGGTAAGCTCCTTGGAATGCTGGAGGCAGGGACTGCAAAGTCCAGCAGATCACCTGTCTTTCTGAAAAGCTTGGGGAAGGGTTTGCATGATCCGGACCTGGCCCAAACAACTAAGAATAAACTCCCACTTAATCCCAGTGTTCACTTGCTGAGACACTTGTTCACTGCCACGGAAAAATGCATGAGCACCTGGGGGGGCACAGTGGGTGTTCTCTAATTGACCACTCTGGACACGTCCACACGAGAACTGTGGGGCTGTGGTTGGTGCCATATCTTTTGTTCACTCTGTACCTTGTTCATTTTAGGTCATGAGTTGGCTTGTTCACCAAATACAAAGGTAATTTCAATAAATTGGATGGGTAAAGAAGTGACAGGGGCCACTCTGGGAATCGTTGGCATGGGAACCATTGGCTACAAGATCGCTCAGCGGGCCAAAGCCTTCAAAATGAAGATTCTGTATCACAATAGGAACCGCAGGTAAAACTCAGAAAATGGGCTTTTGAATCAGCTGGGTAGACTTTGTAGCATCACAGCCTTAACTGTTGCTGGGTCTCTTGTTCTTCCATTTTCACAAGCCCCTTGGCTTCTCTCCAACAAGTGAAATTGTTGATCAAGAAAGGCCTCTGATATTTTAATGGTTACCTAGAAATACAGTTGTAACTCCTTTTCATTGGACAACTTTCACCAGGAAGAAAAGAGAAAGAACTCCGTGTGTGTTCTTTTTATTTGGCGTAGTGATTGTATATTGGGCTGTGAGCCACAGATACGCAGTTCAAAACCACTAAACATTTCTCAAGAGAAAGATAGGGCTTTCTACTCCCATAAAGAGTCACAGTCTCAGAAACCCACAGGGGCAGTTCTACCCCACCCTATAGGGCCACAAAGAGTCAGCATCAGCTCCAAAGTGATAAATCTGGTTGGTTTGGACCCCTATGGAGCAGTTTGCTTCCTTCAGTACTAAAGTGTGAGAGAGGCTTCAACAAGTCATGGAGAATGGAATCATAAGTTAATACAAATTTCCCAACAACTTTTTGAAAACCCCCTGTACATTCTCATGTTGCTTCTCCCAAAGCTTTTGAAATTTACACAGGTTCTCTAACCAGGTAGCAAGAATGGCCCATCTGGGTCCCCATGAAAATGTCTTCCTCAGTGCCCTGCTTGCTGGGGTTAAGTGACAGCCAGTGTCCCACTCACGGGAGCTGCAGCTTCGGGGCACTTTTCTCACCTCCAGCAGGTTGCAGGCTGATTTGTGAAGGCTCTGGAACTTTTGCCTCCGTAGCTGCTTTCCACTTGGGCCCAACTCTCTCCCTGGGCTTTCCACACAGACATGCACCCAGTGGCTCTTCTGAAACTTGATTTGCTGACAGACAAATGTTCATGTTCAAAGAGACCTTTTTTTTTTTTTTGGAGCTCATACAACTCTTATCACAATCCATACATACATCAATTGAGTAAAGCACATTTGTACATTCATTGCCCTCATC